CAACCACCACTATCATCAGTTTACAAATATTTAGTGGTTTAATTGTTCCTCAGACATGAAATAGAACAGTCACCCTCCAGGCACCTGACTTGAAAGGGTTCCTGAGGTAGCTAATGGCACAATAAACAAGAGTGTTGGACCTGGAGTCAGAATGACTTGAGTTCAAATGTAGTTTCAGACATTTACTAGCTCTGTGACCCTAGGTAAGTCACTTCATCCTTTATCTGCCTCAGTTTCCTCAACTGTAAAATGGGAATAGCAATAACATCTGCCTCCCTTGATTATTGTGAGGATCAAATGAGTTATTATTTGTAAAGCACTTAGCACAGTGTTTAGAACACAGTAGGCACTTCATAAATGGTTGTATCCTTCCTTTCCTCCTGTCAACACTGTATTGGTAAGGAAGAGGCTGAAATATTGAGAAATGGGGTATGGCCCCTAAAATCTATAATTCCAGGAAAGAGCCAAGATTTCCTGGGTGTTTGGCAGTAAAAGTGACCAAAAAAGCACAAAGAATCTCATTCCATCCATTTTCTCTGTAAGGGGCTTATCTACCCTACTATTTTTTTGTTCTCTGAAGCCATCTCTCCCCATGGGGTGTTAATGAGAGGTAAGTACTATTATATTGAGGAGGAAGAAAATGAACAATGACTTCATAGCAAATAAAATTTGACTCAGAGGCTATTCTCCCTACCTTCCTTTCTTAGCAGGGTCAGAGACTCAGGGATTGGCCTCTGCCCCACATTTCAGACCTTAGGGAACCACAGTACGAAGACATCATCCTAGGGGAGCTGTAATTCCAGTATAAACTCTAGGTCCTTTGGATGAGTAAGGCACAAAATTCAGTGAGGCAGGGAGAGAGTGATTGCTACTCTGTGGGAGCCCTGCCTGTGTTGTGCTGGGTGAGTCTGATTTTGTTTTAGTCTGAAACTCAGGGCTACTTGTGGAACTACTAAAACATATTTTTGGGACCTGTCCTCCCTTCTTTCTATGACCTTTTCTATCATTTCACTATTCTACCTCTGTCTCCAACCAAAGGCATCTGGAATCAAGTCAGAGAGGTATTCATATGATAAACTCATGCCTACCAAAGTGTTGGGAACTAAATGTATTAGTGCCACCAACCCCTAGAGGAATTTTAATGTTAAATGAAGATCCTATGAGTTGAAATGGATCATCTCTAAGGTCCCTTCCTATTCTGAGATGTTGTCATTTTGTGATCTGGAAAAAGTAACATTAATGCAAAGAACTGGGAAGCAGTATAGGATAGAGGGAAGATTGCTGAACTTGGAATCGTGATCTGAATTGTAATTCATATATTTATTATCTATCCAACCTTGGACAAATCACTTAACCTCTCTATGTCTCAATTTTCTCAGCACTGAAATGAAAAGATCAGATTAAATGGTCTCTAAGATACTTTCTGCTTTTAAAACAAAGATATTGGTGAGGAAGATGTTTTATATCTGAAGCACACTCACTTCCTTTTTCCACTTTTAGTAGCCTCATCTTCCTATGAGGTTCAATGTAGGTGCTCCTTCCTCCCTACTCTGACAACTGAGTTCAAAGCCTTCTTTCTCTCAATATCTTCTTTCTGAAATATCAACAGAGGACTTTGGATCTCTTTCCCCATAGCTTCCTACTTTGGATTATCTTATGTTAATATTGTATTCTTCAACCTCCCAATCATGCTCCTGTAAAATGTAAGTTCCTTGAGGACAGTGACTGTTTCTTTTTATCTTTGTATCACTAAAACCTAGTATGGAACCTTATAAATAACAAATAAATAAATGTGTGTTAAATAAATAGACTGGAAATTACCTGAATTTTAAGATGGTGACTGGCTAGAATAAAGTCAGCCCTGCAGATGAAAAGGACTTCAGCTTTGATTTATTCATATCTTTCAACTTGGGGATTATTAGGCTGATCATATTGGGTCTCAGGGATCAGTGGCGCAAGACTAGAATGGGTGGGAGTGGGCATTCAGGGGAAAGAACATAGAGTAGGTTCAGAGTTGGGATGGATAGATGATGCCAACCCCCTTTGTTATTTCAGTATGGTCCCTATCCCCAGGTTGGTAGCTATAGCTTAGAGACTAGAGGAGAGTCCTAGCTAGGGTGATTTAAGACTATCTCCTGAGAAATTTTCTTGGCTGGAAAAATAAATTCAACTGATCCATTCTCCATCTCCCTGAGATTCTTGAATTTCGTTTAAATTATCTGATATTTCCTATATAGATTGTTTCCTTTTTCTTTTCTCTTTTGCTTGGAGTTTTCTAGGATGCAGAATTCTTTTTTCTCCCCTGATTGAGCTCAATCCTTTTTTCTTGAAGAGGCCATTCTTTACCTCATTTCTTATTAAGTCTTAATCACTGAGTGGGCACTGCCCCAATCAAACTGAGACCTTAAAGACCTTAGATTGAAAAGGTCAAGGTCCCTCATTGCATCCTGGGCCATCTCCACTTGTCCTGATCTATATCTGACCACTGGACCCAGATGGCTCCAGAAGAGAAAGTAAGGCAGGTGACTTTGCACAGCTCTCCATCACTCAAATCCAATTCACTTGCATGTCATGGTATCACCTCCCCGATGTCATGGTCCTTTTTGAGAATGAAGGACAAACAGCAGCAGCATTTTACTTAATATGTGATTCCTACTCTATTCGTGGCACTTTGCTCATTCTGCTATCTCCTCACTTCTAAGACTTTCCCTCCACTAAGCTTCTATTTTGACAAAACCTCTGGCCATCCTAGTACCTTGTGGCCCTCTGCCTGCTCATTCCTCTCCCCAAAATAAATGGGCCTTGGGCTGACAATTCACCCACCTTTTGAGGTAGAAGACCAGGAGTGATTTGTTAAGGAAGGTGGTTTCAGATAACACCTCTACAGTCTCAACTTTCTATATCCATAGTGTTTAGCACAGTGCTTGACACATAGTATGTATTTATCAAGTGCTTATTGACTTGACTTGATGCATCCTTGGGCTTTACTTAAAGTTAGTTTGTCAAACTAGGTGCAGTGAAAAGTCTACTGGAATTGGAATCAGAGAACTAGGATGTGAACTTCTTGTTGTTCAGTCATTTTTCAGTTCTGTCTAACTCTTCATGACCCTATTTGGGGTTTTCTTGGCAGAGATGCTCAAGTGATTTGCCATTTCCTTCTCCAGATCATTTTACAGATGAGGAAACTGAGGCAAACAGGTTTAAGTGCCTTGTCCAGGGTCATACAGCTAATAAGTGTCTGAAGTCAGATTTGAACTCAGGTCCCCCTGACTCTAGGGCTGGTCAGATTCTTATATTTCAAACTAGTGGTACCAGGCTGGAAGAAAGCTGGCAGGATCTAAAGTATGGTACACTTGGTTCATTTGCCAGGTTGTAAATTGTGGGCTGTTGAGATCACTTTATTAGGAGCTTAATAAAGTAGAATGGAAGAGTCAGAAACTTTTTGGAGAGTTTTCTGTCTTGTGGTCCAGATTTACTTATCATTTCTATGCAAATGATTCCCCATCCAAATTTCTCTCCTGAGTCCTTGTCCTGCTTCACCAACTTCTTATTATAAATTCTGACTTGGATTTCCCCTCAGCATCTCAAAATCAACATGTGCCAAACAAAACTCATTCTCTTTCCCGCAAAATCCATACTTCTTTCGAAATTCCCTATTTCTGTCTAGGGTATCACTATCCTTCCAGTCACTCAGATTTGCAACCTCAGTGTGATCCTCAGCTCTCCATATTGCGTCACTCTACCTATCCAGTAAATTAACAAGTCTAGTGGATTCTAGCATTGTAACATCTCACCCATTCTCTACACTCCAAATGCCTTTCATTTAGCCACTAATTATGTCTCATCTGTATTATTGCCTCTCTGGACTCCCTGGCTCACACCTTCCTTCTCTCAAATCCCTTCTCCACAGAGCTACCAAAATACTTTCCCTAAAGCATTGGTCTGACTATATTTCTTGCCACTCAATAAATTGCAGTGGTTCTTTATTGCCTATAGGATTAAATATGAACTACTCTATGTGGCATTTAACATACCCTTCACATCCTGGTTCCAACACACTAGTCCAGCCTCATTATATATTACTCCTCTTTGCACTCTCTATGGTCCAGCTAAATAGGACTTTTTACTATTCCTCATACAGAGCACCACCCCTAGCCTCTGCTTCTTTGCACAAGCTATGCCTCGTGCCTGGTATGCCCCTCTGCTTGATATAATCCTTAGTTTCCCTCAAAGTTAAGCTTAAATACTAGCTCTTTCACCTCTCCTATGGGTGCCTTCTCTCCCCTCCACCATTATTTACTATTATATATGTATATATGTGTGTGAATGTGTTTATGTCTATTATTTGTGTATATATATCTAATGTAGTATATTTTTATGTTTTGTTTTGTTTTGTTTTTTTGGCTAGGCAATGGGGTTAAGTGACTTGCCCAGGGTCAGACAGCTAGTGTTATGTGTCTGAGGACAGATTTGAACTCAGGTCCTCCTGAATCCAGGGCCATGCTCTATCTACTGTGCCACCCAGGGGCCCCATATATCTTCATGTTCGTAAATACACAAATGCATGTGCACACACACAAAAATAAATGTGTGTGTGTATATATATGTGTGTGTGTATGTGTGTATAATAGGTTGAGATCTATACTTCAGAATATTACTCAATGACATGATAGATTCATTTAAGAATTTATGTTTTGCATATACCCATGTATGTGCATACTTTCTTCCCCAACAGAATGTAACTTCTTGAGGGCAAAGACTTTCATTTCTCTCTTTATATTCTCAGCACTCAGAACTGTGCCTGGTAAGTAACAGTACTTAATAAAGGCTCACTGGTTGATTCCTTGCTTGTCCTCTAGGCTTTTACACAGTTTATTCATTAACTCTTTCCTTTCCCCACAAGACCTCAGAGAACACAACTACCAGAGGACTATGCACCATGCTACTTTCCAACAGCTCTTCTTCCACTGAGGTCTCTGAGTTCTTCCTGAACTGTTTTGTTAGATCTCCAATCTGGCAGCGCTGGCTCTCCCTGCCCCTGAGCCTACTTTTCCTCCTGGCCATGGGGGCCAATGCCACCCTCCTAATCACCATTTGGCTGGAGGCCTCTCTGCATGAGCCCATGTACTACCTGCTCAGCCTCCTCTCCCTGCTGGACATCATGCTCTGCCTCACTGTCATCCCCAAGGTCCTGCTCATCTTCTGGTTTGACCTCAGACCCATAAGCTTCTCAGCCTGCTTTCTCCAGATGTATGTCATGAACTGCTTCCTGGCCATGGAGTCTTGTACCTTCCTGATAATGGCATATGATAGATATGTCGCTATTTGCCACCCGTTGCGTTACCCATCCATAATTACTGATCAATTTGTTGCCAAGGCTGCCATTTTCATAGTGGCCCGGAATGCTCTTGCCACTGTGCCTATCCCTATTCTCTCTGCTCGGCTACACTACTGTCAGTACAATGTCATTGAGAATTGTATTTGTGCCAATTTGTCAGTGTCCAAACTTTCTTGTGATAATGTTACTCTCAATCGCCTCTACCAATTCATTGCTGGCTGGACTATGCTTGGTTCTGATCTCATCCTTATTTTCCTTTCGTATATGTTCATCCTACATGCTATTCTTCAGTTAAAGGTTAAAAGTGCTGCAGTCAAGGCCCTGAGTACCTGTGGCTCCCACTTCATCCTCATCCTCTTCTTCAGCACCATCCTGCTGGTCTTTATTCTCACCCATGTAGCCAAGAAGAGAGTTTCTCCTGATGTACCCATCTTGCTCAATGTTCTACACCATGTCATCCCAGCTGCTCTCAACCCCATTGTCTATGGGGTCCGGACCCAGGAGATCAAGCAAGGAATTCTGAAGTTAATAAGAAAGGGTGTGTCAAAAGGGAATTAAGGAAGGTCCATTGTATTTAGGGGACAAAAAATGGTACAGGTGCAAGAAAAAGCCTAATTAAAGGACTTCAGCTCCAATCCTAGCTCTACCCAAAGTTAAAGCAGTGAGTTTCCTAAGAAGCAAAGGTTAGTCTTTCATCAAATTCTTACTGTTTTTCATTAAACAGTTCTCACCTTTCCTTGAGTCCCCCATAACTCTTTCCCTTAAATACATCTTACCAAACAGGCACCAAAGCAAATCCAAGCATCTTCAAGGAAATCTTTCAAGGGAGAGAATTTAGTTCTACCTCAGACTACTTCTAGTAAATAGAATTTCCCTAGCCATAGTTAGGATTATGAAGAATTTATTTATTTGAAAATTTACCTATTACATCAGGGATATGAAGAATTTGTAGTTTTGAAAATTTCATCAGGTTTTTAATTGAAAATCACAAAGAGAGGAGGCAATTATTCACATTAAACTGTTAAGTCCAAATGGCAAAGATAAAAGTAGATACAACAGAGCTCTAGCAAAAGAAATGAGCAAAGTCAGGAGATACCAAATAGAAAGAAGGCTGTAATAATATTCATGGTCTCTGTTATTGGTGCATAATTATTTTTAAAGTAAATTAAATATTTTAACTAAAGGAGGTAAATGTTACCTCATAATTACTATTAAGACCTTAGTGGAGTATGATACATTACTGAAATATGGCAATGTGAGGATATAACTTGTGCAAAAAGAACAAGTCAGATAAAAGGGGTGATGGAGGTGGAGGAAGAGTGTTAGTAGCACTGCATATGTCCCTATTAGGAAAAAAAAATCCATGCATAAGAAGGGGAAGCATTATGGAGATACCAAGGAGAGGATTAAGTCAAAGAGAAACAAGTGTTATTGTGGTGAGTGTTTATTGTTGATCACAGAACTAGAATGACGAAATAGAGATTTAAAGAATTAGATCACAAAACCAATACTAAGACAGGATACAGTCATTTTAAGAGGTTTTAAATATCCAGAAAGATGTCAAGGTATTTTATACTATAAGCAGAAAAGTTAAGAAATGATTAATTTATCTTGCTAATAATCTGATATTTTAAGGAGGTTATCATTGTTCTTTAGAGAGATTACATGCCCACTGAGAGATGAAATTTCAAATATTCTATGAACGACTAGGATCAAAAAATCATGGAATTTGAGACTTGGAAGGAACCTCAGTGACAGTCTAGTCCAGCTAATACATAAAAATGTGCCTACCATAACACTTTACCATTTTTTTTTACATCAATGCTAAATTTGCTTTTTTGCAACTACCACTCTTTGTCCCTGGTTCAGTCCTCTGCAATTATAGAGCAAGTCAACTCCCTCTTCCATATGACAGCCCTTCAAATATATATTTAAACATAGCTGTCATGTGCCCTTACCCCTTGGGTCTTCTTTTCTCTGGGTTAAACATTCCCAGTTCCTTCAATTGATACTCATCTATCATGAGTATCAAGGTCCTCCACCTTCCTGGATGACCTCCTCTGGACACTTTGCAGTTTAATGACATCCTTCTTAAACTGTGGTACTCAGAACTTTTTCCCTTGGTGCCAGATTCTACTGGGAAATTTGGATGGGATAGAAGCCTGTCTAATTAAATTCTGATAACACAAATGAAAATAATTCCAATGAGGAAGGAAAGGAAAAACTGCCTAAAAAGACTGTGACTGTATAGAGAACTGATTGACCAAATCCAATTTTTAAAGTGTATCAATAAAAATTGGAAGCAAACTGTGGATGAAAACAAGAATGACACAGTTAGATGAAAATAATGTGAGGAATGCTGAAGATTAGAACAAAGTAAAAATAACAAAGAATGTTAAAGTTGACCAATGGTTGATTTAAAAAAAATATTGGAGAAATAGTTTGTGAACAGCGAAAAAGAGAACAAGTAATCACTCCAAGCTAACATGGATTCATTAAAATATTCTTATGGGATTGTAATTATGATAATAGGAGTAATTCTATTTTTTTGTTTCAGCATTACTAAATTTGTTCATTAATTCATTTGTTTATTTACTTATGTATTTATTCATTTATCTATTTATTTATTCATTTGCTTATTTATTGATAAATTGATTGATTTAGTAATTTAGTCAATATTATAATTCCATAAAAATAATATGCTTGTATTTCAAGCTGTGAAAAATGTTAGGAAGACACTTAAAATCTCTCAAAAAAAAATCTTATTAACAAAACAGAAAGATATAGGCTAAATTGCAATGCAATTCAGTCATTGTGGACCTGGGCAGTGGCCATGATGTAATAGAATGTAATAGGAAGCAGCAAGGTACAATAAAAAGTGTTGGATTTGGAATCAGAGGAGATGACACAATCCTGGTTTGGCTGATTACAACTCCCTTTAATTTCTTCATATATCAAATGAGAAGAGTGGAGTCCATGACTTCAAATGGTCCCTTCCAACCCTAAATCTATTATTTTATGATTTAAGGGCTGCCATGTTGAAGAGAGATTAAACTTTTTCTGCTTGACCCCAGAGGGAAAAATGTCCCACTGAGAACAATTGGCAGTAGTTCTGGATTTCAGTATAATATAATTAAAACTTTCTAATGATGAGACCTATCTCAAAATAAGACAGACTACCTGAGAAGGTAGTTCTCATTTGTAGTGTTCTTTGAGCGTTAAGTGGATCACTGTTTGTCAAAGACCCTATAGAGGGGATGCCTGAACAGGTACTGGTAGGACTAAATTCGCAAATTGCTTCTCATTCTGACACCATATTAAGAGCAAGTGGTAGTGGGAAGAGAATGAGCCACATTGACTCCATCTTGTGACTCAATTGTGAAGCTAGTTCAGTTCCATTTCTATTCAATTATGGGTCTAGTCCAATTTCTGTCTTGTGAAAAACTTTATTCAATTGTAGGAATTAAGAGAAAACTTTATTGTATTGTTCTAACCTAGCCCTGCATGACTGGAAAACTAGACCACCTCTGCCTGTTGCTTAAAGACCTAGGTTAGGCTGACAGGAAACCTGAACAGATCTGAAGACTGATGCAAGGAGTTTTCTCACAATTATACAGCTCAAGCAACTCATATGTCTTATCTTTCACTGGTCAATCAGTTACTGTTCCCATATTCCTTTGATTGAGTATATCTCTTGAGGGGAGGAGGACATTTCTTTTTTCTGAGTTCAAGAAATTGCATCTGCTCATTCTCCTCATTCCAACTTGGAAAGTTCCTAATCTTTCCTCCAATTAAAAATCATTATTTAATTTTGTATCGTGGTGAATTGTTTTCTTTTAATTAATTGACTTTATTTGATTATTTTTAATGCATAAAAATCTGTCTCTCCCTGTATTCAGTCCAGTGCCAAAGCTGAGAGGGCTTGGTCCCAATTTGTTAGGTAATTGATATGCATTGCTTAGTAAGTTGGTATGCTCAGAAATTCGAACCTTTGTTTCCTCAGTCATTTCAATTCTTTTGACTACTTAAACTTACCCATTCATAAACCAACCCATTTATACATACACGCCATCAAAGAGACACCCAGATCCATACACAAGCATGTTATCAGTACCTACTAAGAGAGTTTTAAAGCTATTCTTTTAAAAAATTCATTAGTAAGAAATATTCTGAAATGATAAAATACAATCTACCAATACAGGTAGGCACCTTCTATGTAACTTAGATTGTTAGACAGCTGCCTGGTACATTGAAAAGTGGTCCAAAGCTACAGAGTTAGGATGTGAAGTTTGAACCTAAGTCTTCCCATTTCTGAGGTCAGCTCTCTATTCAGCATGCCACAGCACCTCTTTGAGTTTTCAAGTGGGCTCATTTACTGTGGTAGAATGAAAAAGAGTACCACTGAGACATCCTTGTTTCTATCGTGTCATTCTTTTTTATAGAAAATCTTCAAAACTCTCTCCCGTATCTGCTTGGTCCTGACCCCATAGATGACAGGGTTGAGGGCAGGTGGCACAACTACATAGAGATTGGCCAGGAGGATATGGATGTAATGGGGGATGTTGTGGCCAAAACGATGAGTGAGGAAGGAGAATAGAGCTGGCATGAAGAAGGCTAAGATGACACAGATGTGGGAGCTGCAGGTATTGAGTGCTTTGAGTCGAACATCCTGGGAGGGTAGATGGAAGACAGCCTGGAGTATCCTGGCATAGGAAATGATGATCAGAATCACATCCAGAAATAATATGGAAATATTTCCTAGACCAAAATACATATTGACTCTGATGCTGGCACAGGCCAGTCTAGCCACACCCATATGCTCACAGTAGGTGTGGGGGATGACTCTGTGCCCACAATAAGAGAGTCGAAGCAGGAGAAATACAATAGGAGCTATCATAAATAAGCTCCTTAGGAAAACTACCAGAGCAATGAAACCAATGGTTTTGTGAGTAAGGATCATGCTGTAGCGGAGAGGGTTGCAAATGGCAACATAGCGGTCAAAAGCCATGGCCAGCAGGACAATGCTCTCCATGACTGTGAAAAAATGGATAAAGAACACTTGGGTGACACAGGCTCCAAATTCAATAGCCTTCAAGTTAAACCAGAAGATTCCCAGCATCTTGGGGATGGTAGCTGTGGACAAACTCAAGTCAATTCCTGACAACATGGCCAGGAAGTAGAACATGGGCTGGTGGAGGCTTCGTTCAGTCTGAATTGCATACAGGATGGTGATATTTCCCATGAGTGCAACCAAGTATAAAGTACAGAAGGGGAAGCCAAGCCAGATGTGTGCACTTTCCAGCCCTGGGATTCCCAGAAGCAGGAAGAAGGAAGGATGGAATTCTGTGTCATTCAAGAGGGCATCTTTATGGGGGCTACCAAAGACCATGATCATTTCTGAAATATCTTCCACCCAGAGTGGTAATTTACCATCTCCTTCTGGAGACCTGAGGAAATAAAAGAAAAATGTTAAAATCTTCTGTGTACTTTTACTATTCAAGAGAATCTGACAAGGGAAGTATCTCTATTGGCTGTCTTTCCCTATCCTCTCCTTCCCC